CGGCTACTCTGGTGTTCTGGTGCCTTTCAAGTGTGACTTGACCAACGAAGAGGAGATTCTGTCCATGTTTGCAGCGATCAAAGAGCAGCACAGAGGCGTGGACGTGTGCATCAACAACGCCGGCTTGGCTCACCCAGAGCCGCTGCTAAGTGGCAAAACCAGCGGCTGGAAGAACATGATGGATGTAAGAGCTCAGTGTTATCTCCTGGATTGGTCTGCAGTGATGTTTGTGATTTCTTTCAAAGTAACATCAAGGGTGTCCCAGCAGAACAATACATTAAAATAATAAATGTAACCTATCAGTGCTTTTAATGTTGCACCTGAGTAAGAATTAACACTATGGGTTAATTTACACTTGTGCACAAGAAGAAATGATTAAATGTAAAGTTTTTTTTCTTCTTCTCGGTCTCTTGCAGGTGAACGTTTTTGGATTGAGTATCTGCGCGCGTGAAGCATATCAGTCAATGAAAGAGAGACATGTTGACGATGGGCACATCATAAACATAAACAGGTGCATTTTTATTTGCTGATGTACAATGACGAGCCCGCATGTCGCATACACTGTTGGTTTCATCTACACATAGTTATAATACAACATTCCTGCTACATTAACAATGATAGAAAAACTTGCTGTTACGGTTTTAGAATCTTGAAGAGATGCATCCAAATGCAGGATGCAGAGAGGCAGAGGGCAGGAACCAAAGATGCCTCATTTATTCTTAGCCAGCACACAGTCCATAAGAAAAAGTGTCAGGGATAACAGCTGAGCTAAATCAGGAAAAAGTGATTTAGTTAATCTGTTGATTTATTAAATGATAACTATACCTGAGAAATATGAAAGAAAGCAAAATCTAAGCTGATGATAAAATCACAGAAAACCAAACAGGAATTATGGCTAGAAAATGAAACCCTGAAGGACCAACAACAGAACAGTAAACAGCCAAGAGAATCCAAAAACCTCTTGGCTCACATGGAACACACAGAAAAAATGTCTGCGCTGGAAAAGGTGCACAGCTCAGGAACTATCATTATCAAATCATCAAAACAAAATGATTGTTACAGACCTGATACAGCTCTGTGGTGGGCCACAAATTTTCTTGAATCAATCAGACATGGCTTTAAAGGAATAGCTTAAAGATCAATACATGTTGTTTAATGCCCATCTGTGTAAAAGCTAACAAATTGCCTGCTGTTTTAGTGTATGTGGACATCATGTGATTCCCCATGCTGATGTACATTTCTACACCGCCACCAAGTTTGCTGTAACCGCTCTGACTGAGGGCTTAAGGCAGGAGCTCCGTGCAGAAAACACCCATATCCGAGCCACAGTAAGGCTTTAAAACATTGTAACCAGCTCCAAGGCTGCCTTTACCACCAATATAAGCTTCTATGACACACATGCACAATGCTTCCTGAAGTTCTTTTCAGTATCTACTCTTTTGCAGAGCATTTCTCCCAGCTTAGTGAAGACTGAATTTCCTTTGCGGCTCTATAGCAACAATCCAGATATAAAAGCCAGAGTTTTCTCTGCATATAAGGTAAGATTATTATTTCGGCAGTTCATGTACTATTTAGATGATTACTCGGATTAAAAAA